ATGCAATGCATTAAAAGACAGTATAAGTCATATAATCCGTAATTATGTTCCCACTGGACGCAACAAATGCCTCGTTTATAATGGGTTTTAATGTTTTTGAGTCATCGCTCCGGCCTGACAGGGCACCATCACAGTATGGTGAGGGGCGTAACATTTCCATCACACGCTTGAGGTATTCAGCCAATCACAACGCACTGGATATCAGAGCACACCTCGCTTTTCAGACCGATGAGTTGTGTAAAAATCGAGCATAGAGGAGAAACAATAATGTACAATATGTGGAAAATAATGTGTTTTTTAACCTTAAACTGTATAAACATTTCATTACACCAAATAATGTCCTTTTTAGAAACATCATATGACCCCTTTAACATCTGACAGATGTATACGACTTTGAGTAAATTAAACAACTTGCATAACTTACCACTTCAAGCTTGCCCTTGGGAACTCTGCATATGCAATTTGTTCCAAAGTTTGTGTCGCGCGTCTGAATGCACCGCAGACAGCACAGATTTTCATAGCCCTGTTTTTTCCATTTGGCAATCAGATTCTTGTCTGCATAGCCCTCTCTGGTGCAATATTCATAAAGCTCTGCGAATGAAACCCACAAGTTAACATCTCCCATAGAAACAAAGCGTACAAAAGACTGCACCCCACCGCCATACCTCGACTGATGGCCTTCCTCTTGTAGAAAAGGTCGAAGATGTAACGGCTGCGCTGGTGATGAAGTCGGAAGATTGGCCATAGAGACTCAACCTTACGCTTGCCCTCATGAGGCTCGGTTTCAGCTGTGAAATTACAGCATCAGTCAACAAGCATCGTAGCAAACTCAAAATAAAAGCAGCACGTTTTCCCATTTTAAATACACGAATTAAACGTGTGAGTATTGATGTTAACTACACCAACAATCATCCTGACTGAGTATCTTATCATTCTGACATCCCAAACAAACGATCGCCTTGTTAGCGTTATGGCTAGTTTGCAGATTGCTGAACGAACCCTCGCGCATTTTCTGGTCCAGCTCGTCAAGAGTCGGCTCTATGAGCTCCCAGCCATCTGGAGGTGGTTTCCTACTCCTCTTCACCTTGGGCATTATGTTGTTTGAACAATACTAGATCGTCTCGGTTGTTTAGCAACAGCGAGCCGCTTTCTGTCGCCGAGCGGAGGACGTCACTCCAAAGGTCCTTTTAGTGTGCGTCGTTACGTTAACGAGCTGGCTTTGTTCTCACACATAAAACACGAACTATACTCATTTCCAGCCTTGGTTTCCATTGCTAAAACGTTCTGCATTAAACCCTGCTATTTCACATGGCGACAATGGTTTTATTGTGGTGAAGCGGTGGTGTTATTCTCTCTTCCAGCATATTGCATCAGGCTAGGTGTCTGATCGAGTGCCTGCGAGTGTAAATATAGGAACATGGAGCAGCTGGCTGTATGCTAATGCATGACTGTAACTACAAGCGTGGGGTTTTGTATTTGCTTTATTTACTGTATCGCCCCAGAGCCAAATAAAGCCACGTAACTAATTAATTGCTGCCGTTCAGTAAGTTATCTACAGAGTTGGGTACGCGAGAGTGTGGTGGCAACCTGATATCAAAACCGTACCACGCTTTTGTTGTGAGTGGGAGTGTGCTTTAGTCGACTGTTTTTGTTTTTATATCAAGCCCAGTTTAATCTCCGTCATGCCTAAAGGAGGTAAGGGATCATTTAGTTGTGCATGTTGTGGCAGCACACACTGCTGTCATAGCCTGTTCTTATGATTGGCATTATATACAGTCTGTATGTTGTACGTTTAAGCTAGCCTACGTCTTCTGTGTTATCATCAGGATATTTTCACTGAGAGCAATGTTGTGAGAGAAATTTGTATTTGTGTTTATGTGTCTATTTTAGGGAAAAAAGGTGGCCATAAAGGTCGCATGAGAACTTACACAAGTCCTGAAGAAATAGATGCTCAAATGAAAGAAGAAAAAGAACGAAAAAAGGTAAGTTGTATTACAAATTCACACAGAAATGTGACAAATATTAAGAAACATGGGTAAGAATGTGGTTGCCACTGAAAGCAAGCATTAACATTTTTTTAAATATGTTATTAATCCCACTGACAACAATTCATGTATATGTTTCATTGCTTTAAAAAAGTGTAATAACGTTTTTAATCAAAATAATCATGACACGTGATTATTCATAACATTCCAGTGAAACAACACTTCTCTCTGTAAGGCGGACGTCTGCAATCATTTAGTCCACTTAATTAAACCCCGTCCCTTTCTTACAATCAGCTGCACAGGTCTCCATCCAGTCAACAACTGACGAATACAACCAAGTCCTGGCACAAATTTTTATTTTATTTTTTTTCAATAATCTGTTTTATTCAAATCACATCACAGTACGGAAGAAAAGCTCTACTACATCGCAACTTTATGTAACAGTGGTCAAAAGCACAGCAGAAGGTGACTGATTCTCAAGAGCTACACTCACTACAACCACTTTCTGATTCGGTGCCATTCCGCAAGTCAAATTGACTAAAATTTATCGTTGCATGTGGTAATGTTTTTTTTTTTTACATTGTAGAAGGAAGAAGAAGAAGGTGCAGCAGTGAACGACAACCAGAGCGAGGACAAACTGACAGCGTCAGGTTCAGAGGACAGTGACGATGAGGGGTCCGAGGTAAGTTTTCTTTTAGAATGATGACGAGTCCATGTTCCTGCAGAGCTGTCCACCTACTTATAGATCCTCCTGCAGATTCATTCATCTGAGACGACTGTGGCGGTGCGTAGACATTCAGCCAAGTGTCAGACACGCTCTTACTCGGTCTAATTAATGTGGAATCTTATTGGGTGGAGCAGAGCATTGCTTTTTGATTAGTCACTCAATCACTGTGCTTGGAATGTTTATATATGTGGAATTATATATGTGGAATGTCACAGTCACTGTCATCTGATGGATGAATATACTGGAGGCTGGCAATACGTCAGCAGATGTATCAAATAATTTGGTCCAGTTGCAGCATGAGCTTTTGTATGAATGCACAAAATGCCTATATGAAAACAAACTGATCTCTTGTCTCCATCAGTTTAATTTCAATATTATTATTTACTTATATAGCATTTATTAATGTCTTGAATTAGCTTCTTGTATTTAAATTGTCACATTCTTTTGCTGTATTTATTAGTTTTTTTATATTTCTATTTAGCTTTTTTACTTAGTTCTTAGTACTTGTAGTATTTCAGCTTAAACTTTTTTTATTTCAGCTAGTTGCAAGAGCATTTCTTATTTTTGTTTAGGTTTTTATACAAGTTTTTAATTTAATATTTATATGTTATTTTTGAAAATGTTTTAATGGAGTCATGAACTGAGAAACCAAAATTCCCTTGATCTTTTGACATATAAGAGGTTATTTAACTATAAGAACATCCTGTAAGTTTCAGAACTCAAAATGTTCCCGTTAGTCTAAAAGCAGCTTATATTGAAGGCAGTCTGCCAAAACCACAGCTTCTGGAATGTTCTACTCTATGATATAATAGTGTGGATAAACCCCGCCTCTGCAGAAGAAGATCAACACCTGCTTCTACATCGCTGCCTGTTTAGCCCCGCCCACTGATTCACGCATGTAGTGTTTACAAGAGAGGCGAATGCGCAGGTCTACGCAGAAACCAAACAATACAAATGCTCTGATGATGACAACAAGACGCTGTGCAGTGCCAAGCTGTCTTTGCATTGCCTTCCTTCTGATCTCAACATTAGGAAAGAGTGGATGAACTTTATTTTTAATGAAGATCCAGACCGCGTCATTAAGAAATTCACTTCATTTTACCGCAGATTCGTTTACAAACAAGGCACAAGTCAACACGGTATTTTCAGAAAGATTGAAACTAAAAGACGATGCTTTGCCGACTATATTGGATCCGACAGTAACGTCGCAACACACAAGTGTGAGTAACTGTTTATTATGTGCTCACTAATGCTTTGTCTGTTACTACAGATCGTTTGAAATGTACTATTAGTATTGTATTATTGTAGTATTTATGCGTTTTTAACCTAAATGACAGCAGCGTCCATCTATGAAGGATGTAGGCTGTCAAATATACACAACTGTTAGCCAATCATAAAGATCTTTAATTTTTCTGAGTCTACAATCTGCCACACCTGTTCAAACAGAGCATTCTGATGAGGGGGGTTAAAACAGGACAGAAAATAGTTACTTCTGAATGATTGTTTTTTGATGTGAAAATCTTGATAACATTATAAGTGGTCCTCAGAGAACAGTACAAAATAATTTTAAAAAGGCAGTTCATGACCCCTTTAAGTTTTAGTTTCAGTTAACAATAACAACACTGATCTCTGTTTTGTCACAGAAAAGGAAGGGTGTTGAAGGCTTGATAGAGATTGAAAATCCCAATCGAGTCGCCCAAAAAGCAAAGAAAGTCACAGACATAGAACTCGAGGGTCCCAAACAGCTTTCCAGAAGAGAAAGGTAAGAGACACTGGGGTGAGTGAAGCTAACAACATTTACCTTGAGCTACTTAATACCCTCTCATTATTTACCAACATGTTGTCACATTTTTTTTGTTATTGCTAGACATCTAGACACGTGAATCTGTTCTTTTTCATCTCTTTCAATAAGTTTATTTTCATATTTCAGAGAAGAGATCGAAAAGCAAAAGGCCAAGGAGAGGTATATGAAAATGCATTTAGCAGGAAAGACAGATCAAGCTAAAGCTGACCTCGCTCGACTCGCCATTATTAGAAAGCAACGCGAGGAGGCTGCACGGAAAAAAGAAGAAGAACGTAAAGGTAAATTGGCAGCATTTGTTAATGTTGTAGAGCAACTTGTGAAAATGTCTGGCTGGAAATCAGAGATTCATTATTGTTTTCTTCTTTGTATTCATTATTGTTTTCTTCTTTGTCACTGTAGCAAAAGAAGCAGCGCAGGCGGTGGCGACAGCAACTAAAGAACTGCATACGTTGTCTCTCAAATAATCCAAATAGTGGATTCTTAGAGGTTTCGATGCATTTGTGGACAGTATACGATGATATTGACAATGTTATTTTTGAAGACAAAGCAAAAGATCATGTGGAATCCTGTAACACAGCGTTCCAGTGAAAAGGAATATTTCAGAGTATATTAACTCAGAAAGCAGGCATTTAATTATCCAAATAAAATGCCTTCGTGAGAGCCCTGATGCTTTCACTAAAGTGGCTAAATCTTAATGCTTGCTTTCACTCAGTGATATTAGGAATATAGACATATTTATTAATATATTAACATTGCCACATGTAGCTGAGTCAACTTTGCAGGCCTCAGTTTAAAGGTTTATTGTAAGGATAAAAACTCCAATAATCTGTCCTCAGTTGTAAAGGACCTGGTGTCATTTAGAATGTAAAGAATAACATACACCAATAAAATGTCAGAACGTTTTTTTGAAAATGTATTTGTATTATATTGTGAATTGTTTTGTATATCTCACTAGTATTCTTGTAAACCTGAAAAACTGTTTTGATTTTTAAGGTGTAGTTTTGTACTTGAACATATTTTTTTATTCAAAATGTTGTAGTTGTTAAATGTATTGACAGTCGGCATTTATTTTTAGAATGCATAAGAAACATTGTCACGTTTTTAAAAATAGATATTTTGTATTATTATTGTTACATATATTAGTATTATCATATTGGACATTCCATACCTCCATACCTTTGCTTTCCAAGTCCCAGAAAAGCCCATGGTGACTGTAGCATGTATTATATGAGATATTAACAAAAAGGGTAAGTACACAAAAAAATGCCGACAACAAAGAACAAAAAGGTGACAATGGAGAAAATGTGCTCCCTGTATCACGCCTTTCGTTGTGGGCGGGACAGGAGCTCGATTAGCCACGCCCCGCAGCGCGCTGATTGGTCTCCAAATTTCGCGGACTTTGACACGAGGAAACCTAAAAGAAAGTTTTCACATAAAGCAATTTGGGGCGAACCGTTAACCACATTTGTAAAGGTAAGCAGAAGAAGGGTTTCATTGTATATCATCACATCTATATAGATAAACACTGTTTAAAGCGTAGGTAACGTAAAGCAGAGTTTTGATTTAGTGGATCAAATCAAAACCTTGTGACTGTCTGCATGCGCTCCACATTCTCGGCTGATGAATGTTAATCTGTTACCGGTGTGCAAATAGGTGCTT